ATCCACATGTGACTGGATGGTATGTTAAATCTATGTTCAGAGCGTCGTTCTCAAACAGATCTGTCCAACTTTGTGTGAGTGACTAAACTCCTCTCTCCTGGTGAGAGAGCGCTGTGACGGAGCGCACAGCAGCGGAGCGCAGGCTGAGTCTTTCTGTGAGATTCACTGTTTGACTTCTTCTAATTAAACCACATTAACTCTGACAGAAGAACATTTGTTCAACCCTGATTAAAGCAAAGATAGTCTCTGTTTAACCTCACCCACCGTCAAAACAAACAGAACTCACCATGTTCTCTAGGTGAATGAGTTTTAAATCTTATTTTACTTTATCATAAAGATCCACAAATGTCATTCTTCACAGTTTTATTAAAAAAAACAAGGCTCTTGATGTGCTAAACTTGTTTATCTTTAGAACCAGACTGTGACACAGCTGCTCTGGGATAAATGTAATTCAATAAATGATCAAATATGAAGAATTAATTTTTTTAAATGATTATATGAACTGAAACCATCTAAATGATATAAAACTTTGAATAAAATAGTCTTTTAAAAATAAATCAGTCTAACAAATAAAACATTAAAGTGTTTGAAGTTATTTTGTTCTGTGCAAAGACAGATATTTGCTGCTTGGACTGGAGAGTGTGGACAGCTGGTTTAACCAAGGCTGAAGATCCAGAAGACCAAACTCCAGGAGCTGTCCATCTGAGGGACATTGTGGTCTAACAGACATTTAACAAGGAAATGTTCACTTTCACATATGACAACATTTATGCAGAGTAAAAAAATAAAATAAAACTGCATGGACTCATTTGGCATGATGTCCTGAGATGTTGCAGCTGAAGGAGTCCTAAAACAGAACAGGGGCGTTAAGATGCCCTGACACCCCTCTAGATAAATGTGTTCAATGAGTGAAGGAAAATATGAGCACCAAGCAACAACCCTAGGTTCTCTCCTGAGAACCAGAACAAACATTTGATGTGCAGCCCTGACTACAAACTGAATTTCTTTCATTTCAGGATTTTGTAGCATCTGTGAAAAAAATCCACATCATTCAGTCCCAAAGGTTTACAGCTCAGTTTGTAATAAATAAAATAAAATGTAGCGGTTTCCTACTTCAATTTATAACTATTGCTGGATATAAGTTGCTGTTATGACTGTTTGGTGAAGAAAATAAGATATATTTTTCAGACTTCTCTTAAAGCATCTTGAATGGCCCTTTTGTGCTTCAAATTAGCATACCGTCACCATGGCGCCTCAGAAGACCACTGAAGAAATCTGCATTGTCACCTTCCTGCCCCAACCCCCATAAGGACAAGCTATTTACTTTTCTTCAAAGAAAAGGGGGTAGGGTCATAACATGCTTTGCAAGACCCTTCCAGCATGACTGAGAACAAAGGACCCGCATTCTTCATTAAAATGTGAAAAAAAAGAAAGAGGAAAACCAATCTGCTCTTGTTCCCACTAAGAACATTGGGCCTCATGCAAGAACCGTTCGTACGCACAGATTTGTTCTTAAATTGTGCGTACGAGTGATTTAGGAGAATTTGTGGCATTCACC